ATTTTTTAACATAAACCAATACTGTAATGTGTGCCTTACTGTAATCCATGGTTGTTTCCCTTCTCTTTGCTGCTCTTCCTTTTAAATCTGTATCTCTTCTCATGCTTGGGGAGAACTTCCCTTTGCAGCTGAGTGCCTCTTCCTGTAGTGCTGGCTCAGGTTGCAAACCTACACACAGACACCATGTATCCCCTTCAGAGACAAGGCAGTCTGCTGCAAAACAGAAGTTCTGCCCAGCATGAGAACAGATACAGATTTAAAAGGAAGAGCAGCAAAGAGAAGGGAAACAACCATGGATTACAGTAAGGCACACATTACAGTATTGTTTTATGTTAAAAAATCTGAGGGTTTAATGTCACTTTAAGTGTTCATTTTCATCTAGGGGCAAAAATAACAACAGTTCTACTCACCCGAATCTCAGAGCCAGCTGGCTGTTAGACTGGTCCCTGCAGCCTCTCCTCCCGTCCACTCCAGTGGTCTAAGGTCCTGTGAGTCATTATGTCCCACACAGGATGCCGAGAGACATTACATCGCAGCAGCAGAGGAGGATAGAAACTGAAGGGACCGGTGTTACAGCCAGCTGTATGCAAGGCTCGGGTAAGTATAACTTTGTTATTTTTGCTTCTAGACAATACAAGCACTTAAACCTTCCGGTACGAGGGTAGCCCCTCTGCAAGTGTTGAGATCATTTTTCCTTGGAGATCTTCTTTGAATCAGTCAGCAGCTATTTAATAGATACAGTCCCTTCAGACCATAGGAAAATAGCATTAATACAATAATGCCAGGTAAATCAGCTGGCCTTTTTAAAAAGCAGCTCTAGACAAGTGGAATTGGTGATCTGCCAATGCTATTCACGTTGTAACTGTGCTAAATTAATAGACCAATACACTTGCCCATACCTCCCAAATGTACCTGATTTGCAAGGACTATCCCTCATTTGGAACCAAATCTCTGTCCGTCTTTCCTTCTCAGTTGTCCCTCTTTCTGGTCCGATGTACAGATATCTATGAAAAGTTCTATTTAGCTACATGCGCACATGCTGTTTAAAGCTGAAAAAAAGTAAACAGTGCCTTACATTGTAGCCATCACTTCAGCGGATGCTAGACGCACGGTAAAATGCTGTATTTTACCGTAGGGCTAGTGTGAACTGGCCCTTATAGCTCATGAAACAGGAAAACCATAGACCGCTAATATGTGTTCCCTTCCCTGCATTCATTTCAAGGCTGCAGTTTTGTCTGCAGTGCATCAATAATTTAGACGCTGCAAAATGCAGTGACCCATAGCTTCTAATTAGATTTCAGGTTGCTATAGTCGGGTCAGTGAAAGGTTATTATGTCGGGCTATTTTACTTTGCACATAATGATTTGTACTTTTCATTGTCTCTACTAATAAACCTAATTAAAGCTGAACTCCAGGAACAAAACATGGTTTTTACTTTAGATTGGTCTAACTTAGTTACATCTAATGCTGGGTATACTACATCCAGAGGGCTGCTGGGGATGCTAAAAATCTTTATCTTCATGACACATTTCCTGTTAGCTTTGATCTTCCAGGCTCTACTGCTGAAATTTCTGGTCTCATACAGTGCATTCGCTCTTCCCCTTCCTCCCCCTCACTCATTGATACATTATCTTGTATTCTATATACACAAGGCATTCTGTGATTGGTCAAGGGGAGAGGAAGGACAGATGCCAACAGGACCACCCCTTATCCAATCACAGAATGCCTTGTATTTTTGTGCAATGAAAGGGATGTTTTTATTACATATTTCTCCTCTTTACCTATGTTTTGTTTCGGACAAGGGTAGTGGCAGCTCCAAATTGTAGTTTTATATTTTTTGTGCAATTGACAATTTATTAGCCAGGAGCAGCATTTCAGCTTTCATTTGTGCATCATTTGCACAAATGACAGCAACTTTTTTCAGCACACGGAGATTGGGCTGGTTAATATTGGTTCAATATTTAGGAAAAAAGCTTTAAATTAAAACTGATTGATCAGCATAAATATGGGAACTATTTATTTATGTTGTTTTATTACAAATGTAGTTCAGTGACTTATTTATATTTTTAAACCCATGCATGTCTAATCGTTCTTTCTTCCTTAATGTGTTTTCATGTCTAATCGTTCTTTCTTAATGTGTTTTTAGGGAAAAGTGCCTTTTTCCCCTTCAACTTGCTTTGGAGTCAAAAAATATCAAGTTGGCCCAGCATGCATTGGCTGGAATGCAGGTAAGAGGCAGTAATGCAGTGAGTTTAAGTTTGTTCAGTTACATGTGTCCTAATAATAGCTATGTAGAAGTTTCAGTTTAAAATCACACTAATTGGTATTTTGTAAAGATTAAAACATTTAACTTTGTATACAGTAGATAAAAGCTCTTGGAATAATATTCATAATCTCAGATATTTCTCTGAATAGTTGCAGTATATAGGTAAAATATCACTTGGGCCCCTTTTCACATAGGCTGATCAGGAGGGGATCAGTGCATAGTGTAAAGAGAAGATGACAAACAATCAATTTGTATTGAGCAGCTATGGCAAAGACCATGATCGAGCTCATCCAATCAATAAAAGTGTGTGCGTATATACAGTGGGGGGAATTCATCAAAACTGGAGCAGACAAAATCTGGAGCAGCTGTGCATGGCAACCAATCAGATTGTCTCTTCAGTTTAGATTTGAAAATGAAAGAGAGAAGCTGATTGGTTGTCATGCACAGCTGCTCCAGATTTTGTCTGCTCCAGTTTTGAGTGTGTGTGTGTGTGTGTATATATACATACGCTCATACACACACTTGTCAGTTTCTAGGAGTAGAGGGGCGGCAGTGCACCCCCAAGTCCCGACATCAGGCAGATGGGGGGCAACCTCAGGTCCTGTTCCTAGTCCTACGCAGTGCAGGGCCAGTGTTAGACTGGAACACCACCACTGGATTGGGAAATGTCCCACATGAGGTCTTTGTTTATTTTAGCTCTGCATCTAAATTATGTAAAACATCTCACTGGGGGCTTGTGGCATCAAAATGCAGTGTCACTCACCTCTCCGCCGGCTTTCCGGGTCTTCCGGAACGTCACCCGACTCCTCCCCCCTTCCCTTCGTTAGCCAACGGAGCCACTTGGGGAAGGGGGGAGGAGTCCGGTGACGTCGATGTCCGTGACGGGACTCCCGGAAGCCGGCGGAGAGGTGAGTATTTTCATTAGCGATCAAAAAATTTTTCAATGATCAAAAAGATTAACGATTAATCAAGAAATTAATCGTTAATTTCCGCAGCCCTAGTATTTTTTTATAATTAAAGTTGTTTCTATTTACTGTACCTACTTATTTAATGCCTCATGTACATGTCAATTGAAGGTACAGCTGGGGATTTCTGCAACAAGAACCTGCAGACCAATATCTTGCTTGCCAGGGACAAGCATCTCTCCCACTCCACAGGTAATCGCTCCATGTACGATTGCATGTGGACAGTCACAGACAGATCTGTATGGACACACCTGTGATTCATGTCTCCATAATCTGCTGGTTCTTGCCACAGAAATTGCCCTGCGCATGAAGCCTAAGAGCACTGGGGTGAGCTGCAACACAGGGACGTTGGGAGAATGCGTTGGAGTTCCATTGCATTAATGCAACACATCACAGTGCAGTGTTATTAAGGGCTCCTTTGAGATGTGGAATGAGCGTGAACGGTCTACAATATTATGACACTGCAAACACTACTATTGCTGACTGTCTTGCCATTCCCTTGCCGTAGACCTGCATGCGTACCACATTAAAAAAAATTCAAAATGTAATGTAAAAAAATAAGTCAGCATACTTCTAGTTCTAGATTATAGAAAAAAAAATAATAACAATTTAAAGATTATTATAAAAAAACCTCTCCCTAAAATATTATTTATCTAATATAATTTATTTTTCTTGCTCAAAACGGTGACAATCCTGACTGTATATGCCCTAGTTTCTCAGTTTTTAATGTTAGCATTATATTTCTGATATGCAGATAATGTATTTTCTACAATGGAATAATGTAAAATGATCTATTTTTTCAGCAACATACTAGAGATAAAGAAATACTGTGTATCCTACCTGTTCAAAGGCATTCCTCATTAATTGATAACTACGGTATATGTTTTAACTTTAGGGAAAAATAAATACATTGTTCTGAAACATCTGTTAGCAAGACATGGAATAATTAGAAAAGATGTTATTTGGATTCAGATGACAGGTTGCACAATGAACAGAGTCAGTGACCTCAAAGCCGACGCATTTCTTTTATGCTACTGTTTTACTATAGAAGCTTCTGGCTGACGACAGATTTGTATCCGTGGAAACAGACTCAGATGAGCGGCAACTACTTAACCAAATGCTCAATGCTATTAAAGTGACTCCGTCCCTTCATGAAGATCTACAGGTTGAGGTTATGAAGGTATGGCGTATATAATAAATTAAAGGATATGACTGCACTAGTTGTGTATAATGATATTAAAAATGAATCCTTATTTTGTTTTCATTTATCAAAAATCTGTTTTAAACATAAAGCAGAACTGCAGGAAGAACTGCTTCATTTAAACATGCTCAAATAGTAACCTTTCTGAATTCTGCAAAATGTGTTAGGTACACAACACTTTGGGGTCAATTCACTAAGCTGCCGTAGTCAGCCGAGTGAACGACCGACCTGAAGCGAAGTGAGCCGAACGCTGTTCGGCTATTCACTTCAGGCTGGTACGGCTGATTCCAGCCGTATATCGGCTGAAATCAGCCGTAAATCGGGTGGCTTTGGGTCGGCCGAACATGCTCAGCATGTTTGGCCGACCCGAAGTGCAGAAGGAGTTCGACTCAGCCGATCCAACATCTGGATCGGCTAAGCTTAACCTCCGGCAGGCTACTCGTTGCTGTTCGGTCTATTCTCATAGATGCCGAACAGCAGTGAGTGAATAGCCGAATGCCGCTGAGCGGCATTCAGCTCGGCTGTTCTGCTCGGTCCCCCTGTGGTACCGAGCAGAATAGAAAAATAGTTAAAAAAGTAGGAAAAAAAACCCAATAGAAAACGATTGTGCGTAGCTAGCAGTGACAGCTAGCTCCTCCCAACTGTTTTCTATTGGCCGGGCGGTTCTGCTGCCGTCAAAAAAAAAAAAATCCCCATAGGAATGCATTGCTAGATTCCTATTGGCTATTTCAATTTGCAATAGCCAAT